GGCGGCGGGGCCAACTGGTTTGAACTGACGACCGACAACAAGATCAGGGTGGTGGTGTCGTTCTGCGTGGACCCGCAGCCCATCGACAAGACTCGGATCTACGAGCAGATCGAGCAGCAGAGGCTGAAGGGCAACATGATGGCGGTGGCCCTGACGCTCAACCGCTGCTTCCCCGACTGCCTGGTGCACGCCGTCAGCCACTACAAGGAGGTGGTGGAGTCCAACAACTTCAGCGTGGAGTCCTACTACTACGGCAAGCACAAGCGGGCCTTCCTGTGCATCCATCCGCAGTAGGGCCGGCCGTAACGCACCGTCATCAAAGAATGTTCAATGGACTGGACTCAGTCAATTCACTTTTGTTGATTTTATGTGGTTCTTATTTCATCTCAGACAATTTAGAGCCAGAAGTTTGAATTAAAGGGGACATGTGGTAAATACAATAAAAAAATTGCACATTTTATTTGCTTGCATGCTATAAATATATCTATAGTTTGAAACCAGGAAAGTCACAGGGGTCCGAATCCCAAAAATGGAGTAGCGGACTTGGGCACCCCCGATGTAACGTTTCACAATATCACGGGATTGTCATGACGGCCCCAAAATGTCTTATTTTGAAATGGTTGAGTAAATATAATTTTTCCATTGACCGGTAGGTGGATTAGTCAACATAAAAAGAGCATCAACGACTGAATCGTTAGAACATCAAAATGTATTACAACAAATAAAAGATCAGAAAATCAGTAGCTACTTCTCTTGTGTGCTTTGTGATGTGACGTCAGAGGTGGGGTGCGCTTCTGTTTGCCATGCTAATTGGCTGCTTCAGTCATGAGCCTGTGAAGTCACCAATCGATGTCATGCTAAATTTTGTCGCTGGTTGCAAACGTTCATTTCCAAACATTGTTTTGTTAACTGTACTGTGAAATTGTCAAAGAGTGACGTGTGGTGCTCTTGTATCTAAATTTGATATCGTATTGATAGTTTTACCCCCGTTTTGGTTAGCCGTTCTTCGTGAGCACACTTTGCATATCCTTCCTCGCCCAAGCTGAACAACATCCATCATGATATCTCTCCTTTTAAACGTTTCCAAATAAAGTGTACGTCAGACGAGTCTGTAATTTCATCAAACAACAAAAAGCGATCGTACAAAAGTTAAGCATGTTTTAGCTTGATGGAAATAGCCGCGCGGCAGCTAGCCAGACCTCCTGTTTACATAAACATTCACGTCACAGCATTCCTAGACGATAGAAGACACCAAAGAGAATATCCCTCAGATTTTGTTGTCATACCCCAGGACCCCATTTGATTTCCAAGATCGATCTAACATGCTTGAATCACTGTGATGTTTGTTTTCTTGTCAGTGTTCTAAACGTTGCCCTTTGTTTAGTTTTTCTCAAACTTGTTTTCCTTTTCAGGTATATGTTTCTCGATGGACAAAAAACATTTTTTTTCTTTTCTGAAGAATGTAATGTACAGAACCACTGCCTGTGCAAAAAAAAAAAAAATCTACATAAATACATGTTCCATTAAAAATATGCTGATTTTTCAAAACACCAAACTAATTTGTCATTTGATTTTCAAGAAAAATGCACTGGAAGTGTGTGGAAGCAACCTGGAATATTGCAAATGAGAGATGTATGTTTAGATGGGCACGTTTTGGTCTGTTTGCTAGTGAGCAGTGGTTTTTGGACAGCGTTTGAAAAAAAAGCGGTTGATACCATCAGCATTCGGGGGTCAGGGTTCATGTTCTACTACGACTAAAGAGCAGAAAAAAATGAATCTATTAGAAGTTGAAGAATGTAGCGTTCTGTTTTTACATTGTGTCGTGAATTTAATCGTGTCCCCTCTTCTTGCCAAAAAAGATCAATTTAGAAACTTTCAGGCTTCAGCCAAGTGCTTTCTTGCCAAACTTTTGTGTTGACTGTGTCAACAGTACTATTGTTGGTTTCTTACCTAAAGCCTTTTAGCGTACTGTTTCCTATTTACTCTCACAAGACGAAGAGGAGCCACCTGCGAAAGCCTAAAGCTAGAAGACATCAACTGAAAAGAAGACCAAAAGGCTTGAAGGTTATTTTCTGTTTTGGAAAATTCGAGGAAGGCTTTGTGGACCAGGCCAAGCTGGACCTGGAGGAGGCGCTCAAGGAGACGGCGTGCGCGGTCAGCGAGGACTTCACGCGGTCGCTGCTGTCGACGCTGGTCAAGAAATACGACTGGGTCAACTGGTCGGTGCGCGCCTTCAACAACCGCGAGCGCATCTTCTTCTACAACTGGCTGGCGGGGGGCAAGTTCGACGGCCGCGGCGGGGCGCAGCAGGTTTAGAC